ATACTTAATGTATTAGATTAGGATAATGGAAATATGTAATAGTGATAACTACAGATTCAATACAACGTTTCGGGGCAAATGCATTTTTCAGCTGAAAGAAAAAAAACCCACATTGTACTGTGACTATCAGTGTAGGTTGTTGTTGGGTTTTTTATTACCTGAAAATGAAATTTTGCTTGAAGCGTTGTATTAAACTGCTAAATAAACTACAATCATTGGGGAACAAAATCAAATACGCAGTTGTACATCATTTTTAATATTAAGCTGTGGTGTAATTCTTGAATCATTCTATATTCACTACATTTTGACTTCAGCCAGCTTCCTCATTATATTCTAATTTAGAGAATGAAGTACATTTGTTAGTTAACAGACGATACCTAGGGCAGACAGCTTGTTAATTCTGACCCAAGCCTGTTAATGGATGCACAAGGCAATTGTAATTCAAGTTGAATCACATTAAGCTAAGCTTAGACGGGCTACTGAGTGACGACTTACTAGTTAGAAGATACCAAGGTTACACACTATTGTCCTGTATGACAGTAGATATGGGCTTCCTCAAATTTGATATTGAACTGAATAGAAATATTACAACGTGCGAAACAACAATCCAGTTGTTTTATAGCCAAATACTTTCATTTGCTGGAAGATCATCCAAGAAACGCTGAAAACCCCAATAAAAATCCCAACATCTCCCAAATATTTATATAATGTAATTCAATAAACTATTCGATGTAATAGGGTATGTCCAGTACTGTGTGAATTTATAGTTGATTATGTTTGTTCCACATGGTACATGTTGATAAATGCTGGGAATTTTTTCCAAATCACCCATTAGGTTTTCTGAAAGATAGATGTAGATACAAAAATAATGGAATAATCCGGAATACAAAACAAAACTTACAAATTTCAATTAAGTAAATATTTATAGTATTATATCCGGTCAGAATATATACAATACAAAGAGAGAGAGAGAGAGAGAGAGAGAGAGAGAGAGAATTTTATTTCAATAATTCGCTTGCGCGTAGGGGTCTTTAGCAGTGAGAGGAAACCGGAGGACCCGTAGAAAACCCACGAGGTTGGACAGGCGACCCTACTCCTTGTCACGTAAAACCGGGAATTCGAAACCACGCCAGTTGACTCAATGACAGGCTTTATGATACAGCACGCTAACCATTCGGCCACCTAACCCCCCATATACAATACAAATGAAAACGTAAGATTGATATGTACAAAACTAACAGTCTATTTATTAGACAGATTTATGTTTATTTTATTGTAAGTATACCCTAATTGATATTTACGCATCTGTTGCAACACGTTTGCGTAATCAAGACATTATTTTCGATTTTTATTTCTTGAATAATAAATTCATCCGCTCACTTAACGTTCCCGCTTTTATTGTCTGCTTTCTGGAGTACGAAAACAGGCAGACGATACGAATGACTTCTGCGAATAAGACAAACGAGTCTCGGTCTTAGCTGGCAATCAATAGTTGTGAGTCCATAGGGGAAAGGGATTGAGATTCCGAACTTTGTATTCAACAGATCGTGTTCGACTATCCATGGGGAATTCTGCTTCTCTTCAAATTGTAGACAGCGATGTTTCCCCCGATTAAACAAAACTGAGATATAGAAAATTCCACTAGGATCATAATGGGATGTGAAACGTCCATTACATGTAAAGAGCTATATTTCAAAACACAACCTTAACAATGAAATACGTCCGTCTCTTATTCCAGGTTTCTAGTATATGAAAGTAAATTGTTTTGTCATGTTAATAAGTTATATGATATGTGAGTTATTCTTCAGCCAAGATATATTAGTAGGAGTGCGTGTTAGGGGTTATGTGTACTAACCATTCTGGCAGTTCGACTAATTTTGCCAGAATCGAACATAGCCGTTTCTGTTAGGTCGATGCATATTGGATCTAGCAACGAAGAATCAAATATGATGAAAAGTTATTTTAAAAATGGTACAAAGAAAAGCATTCACCAAATATCCCCCGCTGTAAAAATAGATCAATATACAAAATAAATAAGGCTTAGACCGGTGCTAAACCCATTTTTACTTTGTATTAAGCAAAAAAAATGAATCTGATAATAATGGAGCTAAGAAGTTGGAACATTCTTATGAAAGTATATATATATATTCATGCACCAAGAAATACCAGAATTAAGGACAGGAAACGTGGGAAGAATAAAAGATAATTGATCTGTTGTCGCTTATAAATTACTTCCTCTGTCATAAATGTGAAATTAAGACTATTAATAATATCCTCATGAGACACAGAAGTGTTGAGGATGTCTTATACTTTCACCTTCACGTGACGAATATCGCTATCATATTACTATGGCTTTTAATCTATTTGAGTTCTGATTTGGTATGATCATATTTACATTTAAAGAGACATACTTCATTTCTGAATTGTTATGTCAGGCAAATTGAATTCGAACGTTATTTTTCAGTTGCTTTAAAATCTACGATTATTTTTGGAGACCTACTTCATTAAAGGTATATTTTTAAACATCAATTATAGTCGTTATGATTTGACATGTGAATAACAGATGTACGAACATTTTTTGAAACCCCACATCGATAATAATATTTTATAAAAAATAATTTTCACTCTAAATAGTAAAATAGATACAGCGATTTAAACACAAGATGCTCTTTTATGAACCCATCTTCAAGGTCCGATTTGAGATATATATATATATGCTAAATACTCTACCAGAAAATGTCACAAGTATCAAATAAGAAAATAAGAATGACACATGACAAATATAGTTTTAACACTTCCATGAATAAATATAGGATGTAAACTCAACCATTCCAAATAAGACCAGGAAGTAAGGGAATCGTCAGAACAAGGCATGTATAACACCGCGGCGACAAACAAGGCAATCTTTAGTAAAAGAAAATGATTTTCCTTGATCGAGCAGGATTTCTGAACACATAGATTATCTCGTTCATGGTGTGGTTCATATAACGATCCTTTCAGTCTGTTTGTTGCTCTAGTGATGATTTATAACACATCACCATTTTTAATATTTTGATGAACTTTTACCCATGCTGACATTAACAACATAAACTATACCATTTTGCATTTTGGTTTAGCACAAGGCTGTCTAGTCCCAAGTCTTCTGCTTTTCGCTGGACTTTTTTTATGACTGACGTGATGATCGGTAAAGGTTTTGTGAATTTCGCCATGAGACACTGTGATCTGATCATAAGATTTATTGCCAAACATTGCATAGATGACTTTTATGACAATTTTGGATAAATAATATGGAGGAGTTTCGGATCTGTATCGTTGGAAAGATAAATGATTCAGTAGCTGAGCACTAACATAAGGAATACTGTACCGTGGGAATTCATACAGAAACTCCCAATCATTGACGTGCTTGGAAAAATCATGAAAAAGACAGTTTTTTTCTACCCTCCTTCCATCCTCGGTCTGCCAACCAAACAGCAGGGTATACAAAGCATTGGACGTTTCGGACCAAAGATCTCTGTATATATTATGTTTGTTGGCGTATGTAAAAACATAATCATATGCCAGTTTAGTACAGATGTTTTGTAAGTGAAAGTATTATGGAAGCAGACCACCATTTACCCACGAATATTCCTTTTATTTCTCCCTCTCTCCCCTTTGTCTGACTGTCCTTGTTATTCTCTTGCATGACCATTGGTCTATAATCGAAGAAAAGTATCCGAAAGGAGATTCTTTTGCCACGTTTTGCTGAATAATCATATTGTATGTAACTTCACATTTGTAGTCTCAAAATGTCAATGGTCAACACAATTTGGATTTTTGCTCCATCTGTTGTGGAGAGCGTTTAACCCAACGAAAACTTGGGGAACAGTAAGTCGGGTAAAGCTACAAGAATTAACATTAACGTCAATTAGGAAAATAATGGTGGTCTGCCTCCTTATGGGTCTTAAGGGGTTAATGTATCTGGAAAATAGTATCTATTCAGTTTCATTCCACATAAGTATGTCATTAATATGCACCTTTTAAACCTATTGAAGAAACCTGTGCTGTTATATATGAATGTATCGTGATGTATATAAACATGTATATGATAATGTATTTAAATTTTGTCAATTAACATTTTACGAGAAAAAATGTGTCTGAACATTTTATGTTAAGGATGTAGTCCAGGTTTTCAATTCAAAATTATTGTATTTACTTTATAACTGGAATTTGCCATGTGTCATTTTGAAATATAGCATGCTTTTTCATAAGGGTTGCATACATTATTTAAGAGTTGTTGCTCTTGTTATAGTTTTTTCACTAATAACTATCGATTCAATAATGTCTCCTAAGAATACTTAGGTCATCTATTGGACCCTATACAGACATATTTTTATCTGAATGCATAAGAAAAATAAATTTACAGATATTTATCGCCAAATTAACCTTCCATAACGTTTATCGTTACAGGCGCCAATAACTGGATGCACCAGTATCTACTACTAACGATAACGCTCGTATTTTCAGCTTCTTACATGTGTACTACATTATAGCAGCTATGTAAAAATTTAGAGATTATTAAAAAACTTCTCATGAAATAACAAATACGTTTACCCACTGAATTGGATATGTGGGTTTTTTTTTTATCGAAGTTTGTGTATTTAGGATCTCGATCGACTGTCTAGGAAATGTATCCTTAATATATCCTTATATTGTTTTGTTATAGTCTGATATAATAGACCATGTACTATATCTAATCTGGACCATTTAACAATAGCACTGTAATATGTTAAGAACATGACAGAACCACAGGTTGTCTTGTATCGAGATATTATACTCGCTCGACTAATCAAATTGGTTTATATGCCGTGTCGATAGTCCGGGTAGAAATTAATTAACTCGCAGCTAGGTTTCCTAATTGGTGTCTCTAAAAGTGCCAAAAGGCAAGAAAAATCCTGCTAAGGAAGCCATCTCTGTTACAGACCGTCACCGATGTTAAATGAGTAAATTCAATTTTGTTTCAGGCGCCATATTTGACCGGAATTCTGGGCAGGTGCACACGGCGTTCCGTCATGAAGTGCAGAGCTTCAACAGAGCTTATTCCGGGGTTCATCGCTATAGGCTCGAAAATATCACAAAAGAACTTGATGTAACTGATAGCTTCGCAGTCAGCAATGCACGTAAGTACTTAAAATCAAATACCATTTTATTGATTGGGTATGCCCACAATTCACCAGTTAGAAATACACCGTTGATCTACACAAACTAAGTTACACGCAACCTAAATAAATTCAATTAAATGATGACTTCTCTCCTTATAAAGAAACCAAACCAACCGAATTAAACAATGGTCCAAGACTCATACACGATTTGCACGTTATAACCGTAATCCGATAACAGAAAAAGCGCTAACGAAGGCATAATACGATCAAATACAGGGATACATGATAGCCCGTCAGAATGGTAAAATATTTGTGCATTTTGTGATGAAAACATCAAGTAAAATTACACTTTTTCCTAGCATTGTTTGAACGTAATTTCACTTTAATTATCTTTTTCTTACTTTATCTTAAAAATGCCTTTGCATTGTGAGATATAGTTTGATGGGACTCACATTCAGTATTGTTCCATATACCATAACCCATTACTGTGACAAATTTGACGCTTTTAACAAAAAATACACAATTCTTATGAAATCTATCACCACTCTGTTGAACTGTAGTAGAGAATAAAAGTATAATCGATTCTAACAGGTAAATTTCAAGTAAAGATAGTACTGCCAGGCGTTCCGGAAAGGTAGATATACACTGCCTTGGGCAAAACGCGTACCATTTGACCTTTTATTCAAAAAAGAAACAAGAGAGAAAAAAAAGATTACCATTTGTTAAAGTTGCTTGAATTTGAACCAACCATATATATAAATTCGTGAATTACAGAGCCTCAATATTTTTTTTTACCCTTAACTATAACCCTTTCAATATTCCGGCCTTAGTTTAAACAACCCCAAGTCGAGTTTACCGTCACAGACATGTCACAATCATCTGATTGAAGGCAGTTCACTGTTTCTAATTTTTTGGGCTTGATCAAAGAATCAAAGGATGGTTTTCCCAGTTCATGTCTTGTTGCTTCCTGATCCTTCCACTTCACAATCATGAACATTCACTGAATCCATTATTTCTGAAGCAATGGCTCGAGAAATCCCTCTCTAGCCATTGTTGGATTGAGACTAAAAACTCGAGTCTTTGACTGAGCGTGTCCATTCTCACCGCCCAATCAAATCTCTCCTGAGTAAAATATAGGGAATTTTCATGATCTAACCGGGGTGACCTCTTTAAAAAAAAATCCTAGTGTTTGTTAGTGCTGATTGCAAGAATAATTTTACCCTTGGATGCATCGGGAACAAACATCGATACCCGCTCGCATAGGTAAATTTGGCTGAAACTCGTTATTGGAACGAAAATTCTTTGACTCAAATCTCGATATAAATTTTATAAAGGTTTACCTATTATTACTGCTTACCTTTAAATATTCGATAATATTTATCCATTTCTGAGAAGAAAATCCATGAAATTATTTATTTTATCAAAAAGCACATGTATTTCTTTCTAGTTTGTTAAAACACAATACGTAATATGACAGCCCTTCTCGTCGATCTGCTGTGGAGGGTTGGGCGGCCGAATGGTTAGCGCGTGCGTGCTCTATCATTAGATTTGTCATTGAGTCAACTGGTGTAGTTTCGATTCCCCGGTTGTACGTGTCAAGGAGTAGGGTCGCCTGTCCAACCTCGTGGGGTTTCTTCGGGTCATCCAGTTTCCTACCACTGCTAAAGACCCCTACGCGCAAGCGAATTATTGACATAAAATTGAACCATATGTCAGTCCCGAAATGACCTAGTTTGTGTCGAGTGGACGTTTAACCCCATTTCTCCCTCCCTCTATCTTGATCTGCTGTGTGGTCCAAGAGATGATAAAAAATCACCACGTGCACGGTGATTACCAAATGTTTACATTGTAGCAATTTTCGATAGCCTCGTTTATCACACAATTAGTTTCTCTGCAATATATTCTGTTATACATTTCGCGGGTTCTGACGTAATGTGCATGAAGCTGAGTTTGTCACCAGACACTTCACAGTAACATATTTAGAGCTTTGGTTAATCCCGATTGATTTTGTTACGTCGTTATGTACTGGTTGTTGATCAGACTGTTGTTAACCAGTCATAATTTGAGACAGAAATTTGCGTTGAGTATGACAGTGTTTGAGTGGGATTAGGTCTAATCAAACGAAACACTGCGAGGAGTATGCTGAATCCTGGCACAAAATTAAAACGCCTACTAAACCTAATACACTGATTAATCGCCGCTTCCCCAAGTGCAGTTAACATAAGGTTTCACGGAAAAAACATCATACTCTTCTCAGCTATTTAGGACAATATAGGGTCACGGCAGTAGTACATTTTTAAAACCGGAATGGACAGAAAGGACTGCCACGGGTGTCTTGTTCAGAATTTATGTCGATGCTAGTTAACGCTAGAAAAATCCCTTACGAATGTTAGAAGAGCAGGAGGAAGCAATTTGTCAGTAGTATTGCAAATGTTACCATGCAAAAATATAAAATTTCATCCCAAACTGAGAGATAAACCCCAAGAGACCACGTATTACGTGAGATATAATGTCATGTTTAATATGGAAGCAAATATGCAATGTAATGAGAATTTATTTCAAAGCCCGAATCAATAATACATGTATCTGTTAAACACATGCTCTTCTCTGTTGCCCATGTTATACATTCAAAGCAAACATCCTCTCATGCTGAAGATTAGATTTATATTTTGAAAAGGTTTAACGGCTGAATGAACAATACAAGCATAGATTACGGGCAGGTAGACAAAATTTCGAAGCGCCGTGATATATCGGATGTATTTGCAATGACCTTTAACGTAACATTGCTGGATAGCTAAGTGAGTGTAATTGTTTCACTGCCACGCTGGATATGGTTTCCGGCACACCTGGACCACTTTGCACTAAATATGTGGAAGTGGCTCTGGTCACGAACCAAAAGACCCCTCCCCCTTTCTATCCCAATGTCGACCGAGGATGTTTTTCGGGATTTTCAAGTCTGATTTCTCCATGCCCATGGTGCAGGGCGGGGACCTGACAAGGAATGCATATAATCAATCGGATGGGACTAAAACACAAGCAAGTCCCGTGTATACCAATTGCAGCACGTTGAAGATCCGATAAAAATGGGAAATCGAAAGCAGGGAAGGGTGTCGCGCCAACATCAGAGCGAAATCCTTAAAGCACACTGCATGGCGTATGTCTGTTTTCAATAACCCGGAAGGTTATGTTCATTTTGTCTTTACAAAGGATTAGAAACGAATGTCCAACTCATTTATATTATGCACAAACGTTATAAATTTGACGTAAACTTGTTTTAATCGAACATGTCCGATTTCAATATTCAAAATGAAACAGATATTTAATTTTATAAGTAATGACAATATTTCATAATAAAGGACCTTAATATGTATTCCGACTCATAACTAATATTTTGTAAGATACGAAATTTGAACTCTTAATTTTTCTCGAATTTAACTCCTATCAGAAATGAAGTCTAGTTGAAATATAAAGGTCGAGTGAAAACATTTATTGTTACTGTAACCTCGCAATAGTGTAGTAATTGTTAAAGTAACCTGTATCAAGTAGAGTTCAAAAAGCCATTTGGGTGACAAACTGTTTTTCTTGATAACACACCACACAGACGCTTATCACACCGCCATGTTTTCAAAAAGTTAATTATGCAGAATGTTGGTTCATCCACTCTCATTATCTCATAGTTCCTTCGGTGTGTTTCTTCCGCCTGGGAGCTAGCACAAACAATGTGAGCACGTTTGAAAGGAGAAATATAATTTTTCACGAGATCATCAGCTTTTTGCTATCCGTTTTAGACATTTTGCTGAGAAAACACGAAGTACTCACGAAGAAATTATATTTATAGAAGATAAATGTGCTTGTTAATAGCTGATTTGGTGTTCACAGTGACAGTAACTGCTTTTTTTTTCTACTAATGTTATTTTTAATGCGTGTAAAAATTTCACGTAAGATTGAATATTGCTTGAAGATTGCTATTCGGAATTTCTCAGACGTTTGTTTCAACTCTGTATTAGTCATACGCAAGTTGAACATTTGCTTTGGTTGGAATTGGAAGAAGGGCAACGGCGTAAAATGAAGTTAGACAGCCATAGCATTGGTCAAGGTCTCCACTCATAGTGCTGAAATCGAGCTGGGGAAACAGTAAAGTACCACCCTTGAAGCACGGAATGGCGAGGTGGGGGGGGGGGGTAGTGAATTAGTGATGCGCATACAATTAAGTCGAATTGTTTAATTTAAAATTAAATGTGTTGATCATATGGTCGTCAGTGACCCATGGTTAGATTAACCGAAAGACGCGAAATTTATTCTCGGCCCTTGTCTGATCACCATCCAATGAACCAGCCACAATATCAAAATTTAATCCTTTAAAACCAATATAATACAAATATAATATCTTATTAAATGCTGATTAATTATTAAAGTTACAATGTGGATATTTTATTAGCGCACAGTTGCTGGAGGTGAAATAACTAGCACTAAGGCAGAAAATGTCCATGGAGTTCACAATACATATTCCATTGCTCAATACAGTTCTGCAGGCGATCAATCAATGCTAATGCTACAGTAATCAACATTTTTAAAATAGATTAGCCACATTATCATTTTGTGCAACATCGTGTCAACAATTACCAGATCAGACAAGACAAGTGATTTATCAAAAGAGAATTTTAACTGACAGACTTAGCCATCTTGTACAGAAAAATATATTGGAATAGCTTCCACAATGCCCTGTTGCCCACAACGTACAGATAATAGCCAATTAGAAACCCAGGCTGAATTATCAGCAAAAATAAAAAATTCCGGTTAGTCATAGTTTGCCAGGATACAGAGCCTGGAGATTCTTTTCGATCTGAAAATTGTATCTAAAAGTACTTATCCATTTGGAAAAGGATTGCCACAAATTTCTTTCGGACCCCAAGGAAGTTAATTATGTAACGTAATAAACACACTAAATATTTAGAAACGGATGTAGTGATCGTCAACCATATAAAAAATATAACCGTTATTTGCCAAATCACCACTAA